CTTTCCAGGAGCAGATGTTGGGCCCAGTTGGGGAGACTTTTGGGTCCTCTGGTCTGTCTTGGGTCTCATACACAGTCACCGACCAGTGCCAGGCACGCAGGCACCATTTGCAGCTCCAAGCGGAATCCACGTCATACCCTGGCACTCACCCTCTTGGAAGACTTGGCAGACCAGGTTGCCCCCTTGGACCGCACCCTGCCCTCTGACTGGGGTCCACTTCCTGACGCTATGCGCGTTGGCTGGAGCCTCCTTTAGCCTCCGTCTGCCTCACTTCTGGCTTTCTTTGTGCAAAGATTCCCAGGGAAGAGCCGGAACTTTTGTTCTACAATCATTTCAACTGGCCCCTTACAACCACTGCGAAGACGTGCACTATGTCAACACTTTGCAAATGAGTGATGGGCCCCAGACACTGAAGAGCCCGGCAGAAATGCCAGGAGAAGGTTATATATGAGAAGTCTGGGAAGGCTGAAGCTTTTCCCCTCGTGAAGGCCAGACAGGTGCTCCGGTGAGAGGAAAGGACCCACAACACGCCTTTGGATCAGATCTTCAGTCCTTCCCGGAGACACAGTCAGGACACGTGGTCTGCTCTAAGCCACCTCGCCTGGCAGTGGCTAAGACATCCCTGACCACAGACCTCACAGCCTTCCTCCCTTGCTCCACTCCATTCTCTTGTACATCAGAAGGATAACTTGGGATGCATGAGAGACCAAGAGGATGATGCCAGGCAGGGTGGGTGGGCAGTGCCGTGGGGAAGAGGCTCAGGTACTAGAAACGGTACAGGAATGTCCTTGCATGAAAATGTTGACTATTCATCCAAACTCACATTTACCTTGGGGTTCTGCATTTTTATTTGCACAATTTGAGAGCTATAGACTATTAAAGACTATAGCCTTCAGTATTCAATACAGCTCAACAATAAAAACCCTCATCACTGGACCAACATAATAGGTGAAACCATAGTGGATGGAGAAAAGATTGAAGTTGTCAACAATTTCATTTTACTTGGATCCACAATCAACTGCCAGGGTGACAGTAGTCAGGAAATCAAAAGGCTTGTTTTATTGGGTAAATCTGTTGTCAAGGATCTTTCTAAGGTGTTAAGGAGCAATGATGCCAATTTAAAGACTAAGGTAGAAAAAAAAAGACTAAGTTGTGCTGATTCGGGCTATGGTCTTTTCAATTACTTGCTGAGAGCCGGACAATGAATAGGGTTGAAGGAAGATTTGGCGCCTTTGGTGCTTGAGAAGAGTACTGAATATCCCGTGGACTGTCAAAAGGACAAATACATCCTGGAGAAAGGCAGCCAGAGTGCTCCTTGGAGGCAAGGATGGCGAAGCTTCATCTCACATATTTTCGCATGCTGTTAGGAGGGGAATGGGCATAGGGTATCAGACATGATGAGGACGGCACAGGACAAGGTTGCATTCAGATCCGTTTGTTGTTTATACAGCTGCTAGGAGGAGGCCTTGCGTTCCCCCTCCTGCCTCAGTCCCTGAGGCCCAGGCTGAAGCTAAAGAATAGCTCCTGGGTGTAAAATGGTGCAACTGCTCTGGAAGGCAGTATGACACCTCCTCAAATACTTGGAAATAGAAATGCCATTTGACCCAGCAATTCCACGACTGGAAATATACCCCAAAGAAATCATAACACCACCCAAGCAGATATATGCATACCCATGTTTATCGGTGCTTTGTTCACAATAGCAAAGAGTTGAAAACAACCCAAGTGTCCATCAACAGACGAATGGATAGAGAAGCTGTGGTATATTCACACAATGGAATACTACGCTGCATTGAAAAACAAGGAACTCATGCAATATTATATACAATGGGTGACCCTGGAGGACATTATGTTGAGTGAAATATCTCAGTCACAAAAGGACAAATAGTGCATAGTTCCAATGTTATAGAACGGGACTGACAGGGAGGTTGTGGGGAAACTAAGAAAAGAGGAGATGAATAATGTACATGGAATTGAAACAGACAAGGGAGAGAACTGTATAAAGGGAATATATGATTAGGTATTATTGTCGTGACAAGAGTCTAGAATAAGAGCTGCATAGTAAAATGATCTGTGGGAGGGACTGTATAACAATGAAATAACCTTTTTTCTAAAGAAAAACCGAACTGGGGCTGGAGGAGCTGGGAGGAAAATGTGTAACAATGAATGAATGGAAATCCAAATTCTTTATAAACTTACAATAACATCTAGATAAAGAGAAAAAAAATAACAGCTCCTGGGTGAATGAACTCAATCTCATAAGGACAAATACTGCATAAGAACATTATTGTGAAAATAGAAAGATAACTAGTAAGATGTGTCCCAAAAGTCCAACGGGGAAAAGGGAGGAGTCAGAGGGGCTGTGGGTGTTGGGGTGAAATCATGGGGTCACAGAGTTTGGTTGGTGGTGGTAGGAGGTGAAGGAATTAGAATAGACCTGAAAAGACAGGGTATAAAATACAATGTGGGAATGATCATGTGAAAAACAGGGTAAATGAGGGACTGTGTGATGTACGGTGTAGAAGAACGGAACACAATGGATATGAATCCTGGATGCAAACCATATTCAAGAAAAAGAACTTTTTAAAAAAAGAATAGGCTTCTTGCTGTCTACAGGCTCAGAAGGATGTCTTTGGACACTTGTGAAACCAGATGGATGTTGCCGGGAGAGGCGCGCTGGCTCCCCAGCTGAGCCAGCAGGACCTTTCTGATCTTTGTGGTGGGAATTGCGAGTCTCAGGCCCATAGACGGGAGACACTTGCCGGAGGTGACATGTCCTGGCGCTGGCAAAGCTGGACAGGGACACCAGGTGCTTTTGGATTTCAGGAAACCTTTCCAGATTTCACACAGTGCACTAAGGAGCACGGTTCCCCATTCTGAAACCCACATTTACCTGGGTCTCCCTGTACCTATGACCCCGGCAGGGCGCGTTCAGGCCCATGGTGCATGGGGAGGGCTTCTCTACAGCCTCCTGGACACTGGGTGACAGCCAAGGTAGCGTCAGGAGGCACAAGTTTCATAGCAGCTGCTTTGTTAGAGCTGGGCAGGCCTTCTTTGAGCCCCAGGAATGCAGGAGAGTTGGACAGATGAGGTGAGAGAGGAGGACAGGCAGCCTCCTACCTTCGGAGTGGACCCCCTGTCCCCTTGCCCCCTCCTGCCTCTCACCTGGCCCAGCTGTGCTTGGTTCCTTTTACAGCGTCTGCTCTCCCTTGGGCCCAGAGACTGTGAAGCTACTCCTGTTTGGTAGTCTAATACCCAGAGAGACTGAGCGAGACCACCACCAAGGGCAGGTGCCTCCTCACTTGCCCTTTGTCCCCTCCCTTGGTTCTCATGGTTCCCACTTCTCCTCGTGGACTCTCTGGGTGTGAAGGTGGGGGTGCCAGATGATGGACAATAGATGATACTGAATTTAGAAATAAAGTTGGCTGGTTATGAAATCTACCTATCTATTCTTGTTGTTGTTCAAAGACTCAGTTTAAAGACCAAGGTCCACCTGATTCAGGCTGTAGTCTTCAGTCACTTGCTTTACAACTGAGAGTTGGACACTGAATAAAGATGGCAAAAGAATTGATGCCTTTGCATTGTAGGGTTGGCAAAGAAGAATGCATATCTTACGGACGGCCAAAAGAACAAACAGACATGTCTTGGAGAAAGTGCAACCAGAGTGCTCTTTGGAGGCAAGGATGATGAGACTTGACGTCACATGTTCTGGGGGTGTTTTCAGGAGGGAACAGTACTTGAAGTGACACATCATGCTGAGAAAGGTGGAGGCCAGAGAAGGAGAGGAAGCCCCTCAACTAAATTGAGCACACCTGAGAAGATGAGATCGCACAGGATTCAGATCTGATGCAAACTGGACTCAATGGCACCTACCACCACCAACAGTCTAGACAACTAGCTATTGGATAAGGAATGAAATGATAGAATTGCTCGTGAGTACCTCTGGGAGATGCACTGCACTGGGAACATCTGCAGCTGGGACCTCTCCAAATGACTGAGGAGTAATGATGTCAGTTTAGGACTAAGGTGCATCCGATTCAGGCAATAGTCTTTCTGACCACTTGTTAAACATCTGAGAGCTGGACAGTGAATAGGGATGACAGAAGAAGAATTGACGCCTTTGAGCTGTGGTGTTGGAGAAGAGGACTGAACATCCCATGGACGGCCAGGAGAACAAAGAGGGTGCAGCTGAAGTGATCTTTGGAGGCAAGAAAGATGAGGCTTTTGCCTCACACAGTTCGGGCATGTTGCTAGGAGGGACCATTCCTTGGAGAAGGACATGATGCTGGGAAGGGTGGAGGGTCGGTGAAGGAGAGGAAGACCCTCAACCAGGTGGGTTGACATGGTGGCTTCTGCAACGGGTTCTCGTGTTCAGGAAGTATGAGGATGGCCCAGGAAAGAACAGAGTTCATAGTGCTCGACTTGATGGAACCTAACAACAACAACAGCTACCACTTCTGGGAAAATCAACATCCAGAAATTAAAAAAAAAAGTAATTCTGTTGTGTGGGTTTTGGGAGGGTAAAGTTGTGTGCCTTCAAAAGTAAATGGAAATAAAAATAGCATTTCTGGGAACGATCAGCAGATGAAGGGGAACTCCCTACAGGGTCCCTTCTGGTGAGCAGTGGAGGCTGGGTGAGCCCTGATTGATTTCAGAGTCTCGTGCCCACCCTTGCCTCTCCCTAAACACAATGGAGGGTGAACCCACCCCCATCAGTGGGCCAAGTCAGGAACTAAGGGGTCGAAGGACGTTCTCACAGGCAGTCTTATCTCTTCTTCTGAGTCGTTAACAGAGTAGCAAGGAGAAGACCGTGAACCCAGCCTGCCAGATTACAGCGGAACAGAAGGTACAAGCCCAAGGCCAGCCCGGGAAGGGAGTGTGGCCCCCCCCCTCCCAGCCCTGGGGATATATTCCTGCGGCCCATGCCACTTGATCCCGTGGATTGGCCAGTGTCTTCATAGGCCCTACACCTTGTACTTCCTTGGCGGTAGTGGGTTGGAATGGCTGGACACATCCCTGACCTCAAGGAGGACAGAGAAATGCCTGAGGAGGAAGAGCTCTGTCCTGGAAGCGGAGAGCAAGGCCAGCAGAGTCAGGAGATGGCAGGTAAGAACACCTGAGCCTGGGGGGACGCACTAGATCAGACCGAAACATAATGGAAGTGCCTAGAAGTGTTTAGTTCAGGGCTGGGGCTGCCTGACATTCATTTATTTATGTTCTTTCTCTCGATTCTTCTTGGCTGCGTGTCTTCTCTCTTGGGTAGTTATGTCCTCAACGTTGTAACTTCCATTTCGACAGGTCCCTTTCTTCCGTCCGTTTACCCTGTTTTTCTTGCTTTTGGAGCATCCGTCCCTGCATTTGAGCCTACGAAGATGATCTTCTGGTTTGGGGCCCTTTCTCCCTTTCCACGTCAGCAGTCAGCCTGTGGGCCTCTGACCCCACTGGACTTTCAGGAAATACTGTTTTGAGGTTTTGAGCCCAGGGCTGATGGACAAGGGTGAACGGGTGCAGTACGACTCCTAAGATGTTTGGGGACAGTATGTTTCTGGGGTGTGTCCCTGCCTGGGAAGTGCTGGCGCAAACTCTATGGGTACTCATGGGACCTCTCTTCCTAGAAATGGTGGACCGTGGGACCCAGTCCCTGGACAGTGCCCCCCAGGAGCAGCAGAAGTTACCTACTGATTCCGCTGACATCCCACAACCTTTGAAAACAAGCGATACCACCAAGGCCAAGAACAAGGTACTGTATGGGGCCTGTGAGACTGGGAACCTTGCTTGTAGGATTTGACTCCAGGAGGCAGATCACGACCAGATGTGGAGCTGGGAAGGAGGTAGAGGGATTCTCCCGTGTGGCAAGCTGGCAGCAGCACGAGGCCCCGGGCCATCTTTTAGGGAGTACATATAGGTTTCACGCTGTGTCATTAGAAAGCATGTGAAATGACTCTTTTATTACAAAACAAAGGAAAATAACACTTGAAGCTGAGCCGCAAGCCCTCTCAGAGTCAGGACTAGGGTAAGGCTGTTAGGAAATCCAGTCATGTGACCTCAGCATTTACTCTACATCAAAAGTGGGTGAGGGAACATTCTAGAGTCAAAAAAGGGCAGTTCTATGGTTGCAAAGAATACCGGGAAAACGTTACTACAATGGAGAAAAGATGACTTGACTATTGCAGGAGTGAGTTGTTACAACAAATGTTGAGATGACCTCCCTACTCCCCGCACCCCCACCCCCAGAAAAAGAGGACTCGAGCTCCCGAGTCAAAGAATGCCTGTGGATGCCAAAAAGCCAGAAATACTGAACTGACTGCCTGTGTCCAAAGGCTGGCCTGGCTCCAGCGTGGCAGCTGCGCCTCAGAGTCTGAGGGAGACGTAACCTTTGAAGTAATGCGTTCTAGCAGTTGAAAAATTATCAACAGTATATTGAAGTTAGAAATTAAGCTGGCTGTTTATTAAATCTATCTACTTATCTGAAAAGAAAATAATTAGTAGAACTGTTAGTGACTACCTTTGGCAAACCCAACACACAAAGACAAAAAAGAAATTGGTCATTCCGTTCTGCGGGTTTGGGAGAAAAATAACATGCCTTTAAAAGTAGACCAAAATAGAAACAGCATTTCTGAGAACAACTAATAGATGAATCGGGGCTCCCTGCAGGCCACAGGTTTTCATAATGTCAATCTCATTAATGTGGCAATTTGAAAGCAAAGAAAGCGAGTTACCAGTGAATCATGTCCCTTCTCATGCTGGATGCTCCTTGATCCAAAGATTTACTGTTAAGTTCATTCTAATTATCTTTATATGTTAATACCATCATGCTACCTCAAAAAACGGGAAACCCCCAAAACAACACGCATGCGCACTCACATACAGGCTTCCCTAGCTGTCCCTTCTTGTCCTCAGGGATCCCAGGCGTCAACCCTGCAACTGTCGAAGGAGCCTGGCCGTGGCCAGCAGTGCTTCCGGAGCGTCTCCGTCATGCAGGCTCAGCACGAGGGGTAAGGAGGCTCCTGGGAAGCCAGAGCCCCTGGGCGCCTGGCTACTCTGGTCAGCACCAGAAATACTTGGTGTCTTCTCACCAGCCCCCTCACCTGCTGACCCGCTGCCCTGTGGTACCTCCTTGCCAGGCAAGGAAATGGTTGGGGGTTGGAGTGTAACCATCCAGAGAAGCCCTGACCTTAGCTACTTGCCCTTATGCCATCGTGTGCCCTGTGCAGGCCCTGCCTGGGAACTCTGAGTCTCTTTTCTTATTTGCCATTAGACTGGATAGTGATTTCCTGGCTGAGATTGGCTTTGAAGAGCTCAGTGGAGTGGAGATTGAGCTCATGAGAAGGCAGGTGAGTGTCCGCCGAGTGGGAAGGTGTCACAACTGGCCCACGTGGACAGTGAGTGGGACCTGGGCAGCTCGGAGGTTGCGCCTTGGTGTAGCCATCAGCTGGCCTTCCCGCCAAGCTGCCAGCTGCCCACTCAGCGGTATGCTGACCTCTGAGGGCTCAAAGCCCCTGTCCCCTCTGCCTCCCTGTCTCCCATCCCTGCGGCCTGGGCTCCTGAGCCTTGCTCACAGGCCCACTCCTGGTCTGCTCCAGATGCAAGTCATCACTGAGCGTCTCCAGGAGCTGGAGGGCCAAGGCCACAGCTGGCACTACAAGGAAACTGTGTTCTTCACCATCCTGTTGTCGGCCTGCCTGGTCAACCTGTGGCTCTGGATGCGGCACTGAGTCTTCACGCAAAGACGCGCCATTGAGCCATCGCCTCCTGCCCCTGTTTGCCTTGTCTCCTCAGCCACCAGCCAGCCACCTCCCAGCAGCCCCCAGGCAGTATTAAAGCCACTTTTCGACTCTGGCTAGGCCTCCTGCCTGGGACAGCACCAGCGACCCATTGAGAGGCCCAGAAGGTTTAAAGGGGTTCCAGACAGTGCCTCTTCAGAGGGTGAGGAGAGGCACTGTTGCCATGACAACACCAGTGGCAGACACGTGTGGGAGCTGGGTCCTTCCTGGTGTCATAGCGCAGGTTTGGGCTTGTCCCCTTCCCTCTGACCTCAGCACCCTCCTGTCCATCCCTCTGTCTTTGCCCTGTTCCTTCCTTCACAGCTTTCCGCAATGAGAACGATAAAAGTGCAGTAACAGCGTAACTCCTGGTGGCTGGTTTCTTGCGTACTTGAGTCTAGACCGAGACCAGGGCATCTGTTCACAGCTCTGAAGGCAGGGCCTTCCCCAATCTCCAATGACTCTTATCTCTTACACTTCCCTACTCGGAGAGAAGATTATGTGCCACTCACCAGGTGTGACATGAGTTAGAGCACGTCTGTGAGAGACGGAGCTAGCGTGACAGACACAGTGTGTGAGCAGATGGCCATCTGAGGGAGACGTCTCTGCCTGGCAGGGAGAATGCCACCCTCCTTTGGCCCTCAGTGTATTATCTACAATGAGGGGGTTCCCTGAGAGGAGCTCTGGGGACCACCAAGCCTGCTGGATACATAGTCAAAGACAATGGGTGACACAGACAATGGGTGAAGAAACCCTGGGAGGTGCCTGTGGTCCTGGACGAGGGCCTGTAAAAGAGGAGAGGTTCAGCCCCCCAGGTACGAGTGTCTCTAATCAGGAGATTCTGGGAGAGTGGCAAATGGCCAGGAGCCCCTGGGTCCTCCCAGGGCTCAAGATCTTCAGGCTTGGGGAGATGAGGTGGCCCACCATTCAGTGAGGGGTAGCAAGTGTCCCTTCCCGCCACCAGACAGGTGGCCCCTGCCCTGAGCAGCATGGAAGCAGCTAGTCAGCTGGCCCCAGGCTTCCCTTTCTTCTGCTCCATGTGGTTGGCCAGCAAAGCTGGAAAGAGGGAAGGCAGCTGGGGGCGGGGCCAGGCTGGCGCTTTGGGACGTGATGTGGGTGTGTGTGCACAGACACCGACATGTTTGCAGGAAAAGTCTGGTTGAAAATATGTTGTGAAACAAAGGTGCACCCTTGGGAGCAATTTAGCAGAGTTGCAAACAAACACAGGTAGGGCCCCTGGAGAGACACTTGAGGAAGGTGAGCTAAGACAGAGCCCAGCCTGCTGCCCTCACCTGCCTGCTCTCTGACAGCTGGGGTGTGTGTGTGTGTGCCAATTCCATCCTGCCACTGGTTGCCCTCGCCCCCACCCCATGAAGGGCCCTAGAGACGCCTGGGCATTGGGCCCTTCTGCAATGATGGTCGAGGGGCCTTGGGACAGAGCTGACTCCTAATCTCTGGGGGGACCCAAGGGGGCTTGTGGGGCATTTGCCCCATGGACTTTTCCTGCCAAGCTGCCCACGCCTTCCTTGAGGGCTCTCGCATGCGCTGGGCTCTTCCCTCAGCCGCCCACAGAGGAGCAGGTGGCGTGGGTGAGAGAAGTGAGGTATTTGGTCAGATCTGCGGTTGCTTTTGGAGGGAGAGCATCCTTCTGCAAAAGACTGGCTCTTGAACAAGTGGGGGCCTTCATGGGCTTCCCGGGCTTGAGGTTCGCAGAGGACACGGCCAGTGCCCCCACTGGGCCAGTGGCCCTGTAGAAGTCAAGTGCTGGTGGCATGGCCCCTGACTAGCATCCCCAGAGAGGGTTTCTGGCACGATGACCTCACAGAGGACTGCCAGAGAGAAAACACTTGACTGCCAGATGGAAGGCTAGTGGTTCTAACCCACCCAGAGGTACCTCAAAAACAGGCCTGGCAATCTGCTTCCTAAAGTCTCCTGGCTGCAACCATGGGCTCACGCGCAGCACAGATGGTGACAGTGGTGCCAGTCCGGGCAGGGGGGGGGGTCACTGTGAAACAGAACTGACTTGGCAGCACCCAACAACAGTTCTCTGGGGTGCATCTACTATGCGCTTGCGTGTTACATCGTGAGTCGTACCTATCAGGCAGAAGCGCATTTTCCAGAAAACGACCGGCATTGGCAGTGCCCTTTCCTGAGGCAGCTCTCCGACTGGCCTGGTGTGTGTCCCTGCCGACGTCCTCTAAGCTGTTAAACTTACAACACATTGCCCTAAGGGTGGAATATGTATATTCCAAACAGCTGAGGGTGGGAAATTGAGGCCTGGTCATCTCTGGACTCGCCCTGGACTAGCTCAGATTTGGGCAGAAGCTGAAATTCAATATCCCCAGTTCTTAGGGCGGCTTCCTAGCAGCTGAAGGAGTGGGAGTGAGGGGAGGGGAGGGGAGGGGAGGGCAGGAGACTGCTGCACCTGGGAGCAACCAGAAAGTCCCAGCCCCTCCCAGAGACCATGTCTGAGAGATGTGGGAAGGGGAGGCATGGCCCCCAGACGACTTGTTCCATTCCAAGAAGTCCTTCTCTCTCTCAGCTTCACCTGGCCAGGTGAGCTGGTGGAGAGGCAGGTGTATGGGGGTGGTGAGCTGGCAGCTCTGCATCCCCAGACACAAAGTCCTTCGAGATGAGCACTCCTTGCAAAGGACAGTTCTCCAGGGTGCTTGGGAGGGGCCTGTGCCCGGGTCTGGAAGGCAGTTTCCACAGCCCTGCAGCCCAACATCCAGCCTGAGGTGTGCAGTGCGGGGTCAGACGCCCAGTCAGCAGGTGCGTGGGCAGGCGGCTTCAGACAAAAGTGGTCATGCTGTACTCTGGGCCTTTGCCGGCCTGCCCTGCTGGCTGAGAGCAGGGTGGGCAGTGCTGTGACTGGACAGACCTGCCTATGGTATTGATGAGCCCCAAGGGCTGGCTTCTGATCGGAGGCTGCAAGCGTGGACCCACAGATGCTGACTGTGGCAGGGCGACACGCCACTTCTGAAATCATCTGATTGGTGAGCAAAGGGCTGACAGCTGCCTGTGGCCAAGGCTGCCTGTGTTTGGCATGGGCCCTGTGTGCATGGACCTGGGAGCTGCGGGATGTGGCTGTGTGGGACCGTTGTCTCCTTTCTAGTACTGAGGTTCCAGAAGAGCAGAAGCACCAAGCGCCCAGAGGCGGCCCAGCCTTTTCCTTCCAAAAGAGGGGCAGGGTGGTGGCTGGTAACAGCAATCAGACGGCTGCCTGGCCAAGCAGGGTCCATAGGAAGGAGGGAGGGGCCTGTGGACCTTCAGGCAGGAACCCACCTCCACTCAGAAGACCCACTGGGGTATCAGCCTTTCCTGTGGTCCTTAGATTTGGACCCTGCTCTGAGAGGACCCCCTGGGAGAAGCACCCCACTCTGACCTCTCAGGTTATGGGACTCACCTGCCATCTGTACCGGCAGGGAAGTCCTTATAGCTTCTGGTTGATGGAGACTCCGGGCCAGGTGGTTGATTGGGGCAGAGGCAGGGTCCCATTTTGGCCCTTGGACTCAGCTTGACAGATGAGCAAATGGTGTGAAAGGTGTGGTCCTCAGAGCCCCAGCCTGGGGCTGACCTCGAGGTATGGGGTTGGAGGCAGAGCTCCCTTGTTAAACAGTGGCCCCTGGATGCAAAGGAGAGGCTGAGTGCTTGGGCTAGGATTGTTTACGTGGACTTGAACCCAGACTGTGGATGACAATTGGGCTTCAGGTGCCAGTGTCCTCAGAGAAGCTGGAAGCAGTCCTGGTCACACTCTCACAGGCACCAACATGCAATGACCCTACAGACAGAGGCAGAGAGTACCCGGGAGAGGGGGACGCGAAGACAGATGGCCAAGGGTTCAGAATACCGATGGGCGGAGTTTAGAATTGATGACGTAGACAATCCCTCCACCCAGTTAACAAGTGCATAACCCTGTGCTTAGCCTTGAGGATCCGAGAGTGGACAAAAACACATTGTCCTTGCTCACATGGATGCATATCTAGTCACGAGACAGACACAAACAAATCTAGTGTCAAGAGATACAAAAGACGATACAAAAATTGATGATACAAAAGAAATAGGAGAATGAAACAAAGTGTAGATTTGGGAACATAGAGAGCAAGTTCAAGGAATCCTATTCATTCCTTCACTTGCTAAATGTTTGTTCACTTGCTTACTGCATGCTTACTGGTAGATGAGGCCCTAGTGTCCATGAGCAAAGAAAACAGACATGTCCCTGCTCTTGTCAGCTTCTTTCCAGGGTGAGGGAGTTTGCCCATCAGTTTTAGAAACAGAGGAGCAGGTGACAGACAGAGGCAGATGTGGGCTTTGACCTGGTGGCTGCAGGATGGAGAAGAAGGGTCTCAGCAAGGCCTAGAGCAGAGGGGAAGGGGCTCTGGTCAGAGGGTTTTAGCATTAGAACAGGTAAGTTTTGGGAATGGACTGTGAGGTAGCAAGGAGGTCTCCTAAGTTTCTGATTGAGCAAATATGAGAGAGATGGATCTTTCTTAACATGAAAGGATAGTCAGGGCTGAGGATGTGCAGAAGGTCCTAATGGTTGGGGACATGTCACGTTTGAGGGCCTAATACCCCTGGAGTTCGAGATGTCTCAAGGATAAGTGAGCATGTGGAGTCAAAGAAATGCTTCTCTGTGAGGACAGCAGGGCCCGAGGTGACCTACAATCACGGCTCCCCCCAATGTCAGATTACCTAGTAAGCAAGTTCAACATGACGTTACTTACTAATCTACAGTAAACAATTTCACATTTTTCTCACCACACAAAGATTCTGCTTTTAGGTATGGCTGGCATCTCTCTCTCTCTCAAACTCAGAAGATGTTCCTGCCGAATTCAAGTTTCTTATTAAATGCAAAACATATAGAACATCGTTATTGATTTCCTCATCTGTTAATTCCAACATCTGCTTCAGTTCTGGGTCAAAGACTGGCAGCCTTTTCCTGTTTGTTGTTG